CAGTTTCAGCAATCTATGGAACGCTGTATGCTTCTTCTCAATAAAGAAATCTTTACTGGAATGGTCTAGTCTCCAGTGGATTTACTTGGACTGGGAACTGAGTGTTGCAGACTCTGACATTAAGCGTGTCCAATTATTCTTCTTGTTTTGCTCTGTAAATTCAACATTGCTAACGAAGAGCTTCTTTTACTGAGTAGTTTGTCAGATGCACCAGTGTGGTCTCTGCTTTGTTGGCCGAGAGCCTGGACTCAGCATCTCATTTGCAGAGCCAGGGGCCGAATGGGAAAGAGCCAAATACCGCCACGGGACCGCTGCATCCTGGGGGTTTCATAGCCCCTTCTCAATCAGTCGGGGGAACATGACTGAATGGGCCTTCGGGAAGAAATTTCCTCCTGAGGTGACCCATTGTGCCCAGGGCACTGACCTTTCTGCGAGGGGGTCCAAAGACGGCTCCTGCACCCCAAACTCCCAGCACCATTGGTGCTGCGGCCCCGATCTTCCTGGCAGAAGTTTCTGGGTGCTGCGTTTTGTGCACTCTCGTGTTCAGGCTGGCTTTTCTGCCTGGAGGGGGAGCCCAGGTGGAGCGTCCCAGCTGGCGTCACAAAAGAAAGCCACGGCTTTGCAGCGGAGCCCAGCTGTCTGTGCCCCGAGCCCAATTCTTAACTCATGGGCAGCATAAGTGGGGAACATCTGACAGCATGCCCTACCTGAGCATAAGAATGGGGGGAGGCATACAAATAAATTATATAAACAATATCTAAATTAATGAGCCACTAACAGAATAAGCAAAAATGATTTGTTGCTGATTGCTTTTAATTATATTTGCTGTACCATAACATGAGAGACTATTTGGTCTAGTGGCATCTAGCTAGAATCCAGGAGGTCATGAGTTCTAGTCCTGGCTTGGGCATAAAGCCAGCAGGGTGAGCTTGGGCCAGTCACTCCCTCTCAGCCCTAGGAGGGAGGCAATGGCCAACCACTCCCAAGAAACCTTGCCAGGAAAACTGCAGGGCCTAGTCCAGGCAGTCGCCAAGAGTCAACATTGACTCGAAGGCACCAAAACTGGTGTGCAGTATGTGTGTGTGTGTGTGTGTTGTGTCATATTTGAGCAGACTGTGTCATTTCTTCGCCCGCAGTGGTTTTGCTTGTGACCCTGGAAGGGCTTTTAAGGCCTTGGTGCCTGCTGGCTGCAGCCCAAGGCGCCCTCCTCTGCTGCGGTCACCCGGCTGGGGCTCCTCCTGCGCAGCTGCGTTTGCTTTCCCAGCAGAATGGAAGCCCCCCCTCAAAGCCGAATGCGGGGACCCCGTCCAAGACCATGAGCGAGCTGAAGGTTGAATCCTGGATGGGCCCTCAGGAGTCAAGTGTGGTGGCCACTGGTAGGAGGTAGGTGGGGGCTGCCAAGACCCGCTGGTGCTCTCCAGGGGCGCTGGAAGCAGCGCCCTGGAAGCCGGGCCGCTGGAGAGAAGCCCGGGGGGAGACCCCCGTACTGTCCTCTGCTCACGCGCGCAACCCCCACCCCCGCACCCGCGCGTGAGGTCGCCACTCCCGCGGGCCTCCGTCCCCGGCTCCCAGCCAGACTTCCCCCTCGAGGGCGAGAGCAGCTTTGCGCCCGCGGCGGCGGGAAACCGGTCCGGCGGGTTTCTCTTTCTGCAAGGGGTGGGGGAGGCGAGTCCGTGCCCATAGGGCGGTCAGCCCCCAAGCGCCCCTCGTCTGCGGCCGGAGGGAAGGCTGGCCCGAGTTCTGTCGGCCGCTTCTAGAAAGACCCGTGTATGCACTGTGGGTTCCCACGACCCTGAGCCAAATGCGACTTACAGTGTTGGTGGCTTGGGTGTTGTGGGAACCCAGCCAAAGGGACGCAATGAGGACATTAAACCGTGGCTAATGTGTTCTGCGGAAAGGCCATCGGCCTGGTTCGCTCCGCGCGCTACTTAAGGGCTTGCTTCGCTCGGATTAACAGTCGTGTGAACCAGCCAGTGTGATCGTAAATCACGGCTTGCGGCTCAGCGTGTAGTGCGAACTGTTTAT